CCGCAAACCATGGAACAGGCACACAGGCAGTTGCTGAGAAAGCTAATGAACTTGGGTGTCCTAGCGTACCTCCATCCTCTGCCCATGTGTCCACTCTAACTTACAAAGATGGTCTGTTCTTTATGTAAATAAAATGTTTAAGCCAGAGGCGGTCACGAGCAACAGGTAGATATTCCTGTCTTCCCTAGAATCCAGCCGAAATGTCAGCCCCGTCCTCAGAAAGGGGCTTTGCTGGTACAATTCACTCTTACTGGACATAGTAAAGTGGAGAGTGAAGTCCTTCACTGTTTTCTGCATCCCCCTATACGAGGCTGTTAATTGAAGTACTACAAAGAACACAAGATTCCTTCCAAGACCAAAAATAAGCGAGAGACTGTCTCTTCAAAGCACCACTTGGTGATCCCTGCAATAATGATACACTTGCATGCATCAAGTATTTCTGTGATTTCTGTTCCATTCAGGCTATGAAAATATTCAGGTTTTGGAGTTATAAATTATTGCACTGAAAATTTTCTTAGGTTTTGAAATAATGGAAATTGTTGCGTTTCACTAATAGCCTTCTAAAAATTAGATGATACTGAAAGCAATCCGGTAAATAACCGATTCATTCGGTTCATTGGCTTTGTTTACCTCTGCTCCAGATTTTATTCATACAAATCCTCTCTGCTTGTTGAAAACACCATTGCTTGCAAGCGTGGTGGTGTTAGGTGGTCCTTCACTAGTAGCTTTGAAGATATACCAAGGTGTGTCATAGCAGGATCTGGTTCATTGTCACTTTTTTCTAAACCATCTACTAATGAGGTGATTTTTTGTTTTCCTTGTTTACATGAAGCACGGTTTCAGACTAGACTCTTCAGGCACACGCCTTGCTTCTGTCAAAATGCTGCCAGTAATTTCAGTTGAATAGGATGGAGCCATGCATGGGAAATGCTTCAAAACAAAGCTGATGGATGGATCTGGCATAAGCTTTGTTTTGTACTTCTGTTCTTGGATCGAGAGCTAAGAAAAATCTCTTTAATTTCTTGTTTGATGAATACAGTAGATGTAATATTCTTCTCAAGCAGGCTTTTTGTTGTGAGGATGTGAATGACAATCGGGGCTTTTTGCCCCGAGTGCAGCGTTTAAGCTGTCAATAAATAAAAAAGTCACAGTAGGCATTTGGAATGTCTTCTTGCGTAACTCGGGGAAGGAATTGCACCTGCCGTCATGCTTTGGTTCATGCTGGATCTTCTCTTTGTTTTCCACGAAAGTAATCTTGCCCTCTGTAATCTGAAGAAGAAAAATCAGAGGAAAACCTTAATTTAAAAATATTAAAAAGGCAGAAAGCTGTGAGAAATATGTTCCAGACGGAACTGCATGTGACATTGCTAGAAGCGTCCCCTCAGGACCAGCTTTTCTCCCATCCCAGAAAATGCTCAAATCCACTCTGCAGAGATGGAAACCACTGGTAGTCTGACAACTTTTTCTTCTGTTTTGGGGGGGGGCTTTTTTAGCCTATAATGGAACTGATAGAATTGCTTCTATTGCCCAATGAGTTTCTAAACTAGTTTCAGTTGCATAGTTGCATTTGGGCGGCAGTGTTGATCTGCTCGAGGGTAGGAAGGTTCTGCAGAGGGACCTGGACAGGCTGGATCGATGGGCCGAGGCCAACTGTATGAGATTCAACAAGGCCAAGTGCCGGGTCCTGCACTTTGGCCACAACAACCCCACGCAGCGCTACAGGCTGGGGGAAGAGTGGCTGGAAAGCTGCCTGGCGGAAAAGGACCTGGGGGTGCTGGTCGACAGCCGGCTGACCATGAGCCGGCAGTGTGCCCAGGCGGCCAAGAAGGCCAATGGCATCCTGGCCTGTATCAGAAATAGTGTGGCCAGCAGGAGCAGGGAAGTGATCGTGCCCCTGTACTCGGCACTGGTGAGGCCGAACCTCGAATACTGTGTTCAGTTTTGGGCCCCTCACTACAAGAAGGACATGGAGGTGCTGGAGCGTGTCCAGAGAAGGGCAACGAGGCTGGTGAGGGGTCTGGAGAACAAGTCTTATGAGGAGCGGCTGAGGGAGCTGGGGTTGTTTAGCCTGGAGAAAAGGAGGCTGAGGGGAGACCTCGTTGCTCTCTACAACCACCTGAAAGGAGGTTGTGGCGAGGTGGGGGTCAGTCTCTTCTCCCAAGTAACAAGCGATAGGACGAGAGGAAATGGCCTCAAGTTGCACCAGGGGAGGTTTAGATTGGATGTGAGGAAACACTTCTTTACTGAGAGAGTGGTTAAACATTGGAACAGGCTGCCCAGGGAAGTGGTTGAGTCCCCATCCCTGGAGGTATTTAAAAGACGGGTAGATGAGGCGCTTAGGGACATGGTTTAGTGGGCATGGTGGTGTTGACGGTTGAACTTGATGATCTTAGAGGTCTTTTCCAACCTTAATGATTCTGTGATTTAAGTAGACAGGATTTCAGCATCCCCTCTGTATTTAAGACATTGGTTATGATAGCGTGCCTTGGTGCTCAGTCCTGATGTAGTGAAATAACTTGACGGAGAGTTACAGGACAAAAAAATCAAGGCATTGAGGGCACCCCTGCTTTGACACAGGCAGGTGGAAGGAGCCTTTTCTTCCACAGGGAAGTGTAAAATTAATATATGTTGGACCTTTAGGAAAGGGATACTGCTTTTCAGTGGTGTCATGGTAAGTAGAAATTGGCATTATGTGGTGCTAAATTGAAAATTAAGCATATGGCTAAGGTCCTGCTCTGCTTTTCATTTGTTAGCTTAAACCTATAAAAATTGTTCTGATTCAAGTATAATGTCTGTTTCTCAATGGGGAAATCTCATTGTAAGAATTAGTGGAAGATGTCACGTGTGTGGCTGGCAAACGGAAACACTGGTGAAAAGAAATAGTATCTAGCTCTTATTTAGGGCTTTTCATGAGCAGATCTCAATTCACTTCCCAAGGAGGGAAGGATTATTAAAGACTATTTCAGGTACAGAACTGAGTAGCTTTCAGTGAGTTTTCTTTATGTTGTGTCTGTGTGGAAGAGGATTTTGGGTTTGGGGTTTTTTTTCCCTACTGAGAGATTGGTGACCTGTGTCCTGCCAGTGCAGTATGTGTTCAGTATCGTGCAATTTGTTCACCAGCTTACGCACCTTTCCTGCCTTCTGGAAATCTGATGTTTGATAGTAGCAGAGCTTACATGTGCTATTGTAGAGGGGTTTGAACCAACTTCTGTTTCCCCTGCAGATGAAAGTGGTGTGCAGAAGGAGCAGTATACACTGAGAGATTTAGTGTCAGGCAATCGCTTCTCTGGAGGATTAAATGAAGCCTTCAAAAAGGCACATCCTTCTGCCTTTTACTTACAAGATTCGTAACCCAAACTGCTGGCTCTGTTCATGGGACTTTTTTTACAAGAAGCCTTAAAATATGGCTTCTTACATTTATTTACTTGGATTCTTCTCTTTAATTTGTATATGCAATAGTCCGACTCCTCCAACAACTATATGATCAGCTGGCAAGAAATTGTTGTTCTGAAATGCAGCCTAGGTAAAGCTATCAAACTGGATGGTAGCGTGAGCTATAGTCCGTGTCTGTAGAGCAGAGGAAGAAAACCACGTTGCACAATGCCTGTCTGCTTTTTCAAATTCTGCTATTGTTTTAAAAATCCGTGCCCCACATGTCAGTCATCTCTTGTTAAAACAAGGCCTCTGACCAAGAGCCTTCATTGAATAAGAATTACAGTAACACGATCCGAAAGCTCACAGACTGGGAACTCCTCAAAACCTGGCATGGGAGGAATTTTTTTCCTTCATTTATCATAGAGTTAATATATGCGGCTTCTCAGGCACAAGGGGACGAGGGGAAAAGAAATAGATTGTGAACATTATTATTAATCCAGATGCTTAGAAATGAGCAGTCATGTTTTCCCAAATTATGCAACTGATTCAAAAATAATGATGTATTTTAAAAATGATGCCTTTGGGTTTTGTGCCTTCCAGATAAAATGCTCAGCTCATTTTCATGTTTCGGCAATCCCAAGAATTATAGAACTACTATTTAAAATAGATACCGACAATTCCTAAATACACTCTTTTCTTCTTGTTTCTGGAGTTTTCATTGAAATATCTAGCATCACCATAACTGGAGAATTTAGTAGCAATATTATTCATGTAAATTATATTCCTTCTTTCCTGCGCCCTCCCTCTGCTCCTGCTAAAATGTTGGAATACTTGGGCAGCGTAGCACAGTGAGGGATGACAGTGTGAATAATAGCATCAGGTAAGTTTACTAAATGCCTCTAAAAACAGGACTACAGGTTGTTCAGTACAAAGGCAGAGATGAATGTAACAGTTAAGAAATCGCATTGCCCATGCAAATTTGAAAACAAAACCAGATTTTTCTCTCAAAATTGTGCCAGTCTCTTCAGGAGAGGTAAGATTCCACTCCGAAATTTCTACGCGCTTCCTGTGCATGTGAAAACATTTCTGGTCATGGCAGTGTCCCATGATCGGTATAGTAAGTGTGCTTTGGTCTGTCACTGGTATTTTCTGAGACCGTCGTGTTTGTCTCCTGGCTGGCAGGCAAAGATTTAAAATCTTGATTGTTGGAAGGCATGGCTGTGCTGGCATGTCCCAGCAACGGGGCATAAGCCCAAGGCAAAGACTTTGAACATAAGACTGCAGTTTCCCTCAATTTGGGCTCAGACGGTTTTGGTTTCTGAGTAGAATCCGTAACGGTTTGCAGGTGGGAGAGGTGATGTTATGGAGGAAGGAATTCAGGTGAGCTGTGGTATTTCAGCTACAGCTTACCTCTAACTAATGGTTCATATCAGAAAATTAGAAAATCTGCGTAAGTATTAAAAAGAATGAAATAGGATTTTCTGTGTTCACTGTACAATTTAAGGCCTTGCTTCCAAATTATATGCTGTTCCTAGTTTCCAAATGTTGCATTAAAGTGATGTAGAAAAGACTGTGTCAGCCCTTGTGTATGTTATTTACCGTGCTGCTTTGTCTTCCCTTTCCAGCACTTACAGAACCCTGCAAACTTCCATAATGCAGCAACAGAGCTCCTGGACTGGTGCGGAGACCCCAGAGCCTTCCAGAGGCCATTCGAGCAGAGCCTGATGGGTTGTTTGACGGTACGTCCGCTCCCTCTGTGGCGGTGGTTCCTAGCCTCTGTTTTATACTGTATGCAGTCTGTCGCGGCCAAGGGAACTTGATTTTCAGAATCTGCATTTTGTGGGGGTTTTTGTCATTTTATCTTAAACACGTGAAGCCAGATCCCAACAACTGTTTATTTGACTCCATTACTTAACAGGAAGCAAAATGCAATAACAAGAAGTTAAATCATAAAAGGGAAAAAACATTTATAGTTAGGTTACTTACAAGCCCACAGGCTAGGTTACTTGATATGCACATACAATATTTATTTTCATGGTTTGAAGTTGCTAAGTGAGCTGTGTTGTTATGGAGTTAAAGGATTTTTTTTTTTTTAAGGCATTTATTTTCCTTTGCTCATTTTTGGTGGGATTGGACGGCTACTTGTCTTCTATCCTAAGTATGCTGTACTTTCAGCTAAACAGTGTTTCTGACATGCCTGTTCGGCTTGCTTTGTTACATATATTGACTGCAGGTCTAACCCTGACATACTAATTCCAACAGTTTTATTGACTTAAATCCTTTTCTTTCCATTTTCTTTTTATTAAGACCAGTGCAGTTCGTAAAGCAACTTACTTATAATGCATTGAAAATATATTTTATTGTGTGCACAACAGCATTTTTTTCTTTTGGAAGTTTTATTTCCCATGCACCCAGCAGCAGGATCCAGTCCGAAATTGTTACGTGGAGTCAAGGCTTTAGCGGAATTAAATTCTGACTGGAGTAGGAGTGTTCAAAAGCTGCACTGCAATTTGCAGAACAAGTTGATATAAATGAATAGTCACAAAAGAGAGAGAAATTTTAAAATTACTATTGAAGAGACTATCATTGTATTTGTTGGGGGAACAGAAGCGCAGGAATTATTTTCATGCACTATGTAGCTGATGCATATAAAACAGACACTAAGACTGAGATTCAGTTGCCAGAAATCCAAATGTTAAGGAATGGCTCCATCTTAATGTGCTCAAGTGTATAACATCCCTCAGATTTCTATGTCAAAAAATTAGAATAAATCCAGTGATCTAAGGAGGTGCATATCATTCTTCCAATCAGAAAAGAAAATAATTAAAGAAAGTTAGAAATGTTAGGAGAGTCCAAAGATAAGATAATTAACGATTCTGTTTGAAGTAAAAGTTATCTACAGTATATAACCTCAGTCATGAAAAACTGTACATAGGATCTGATGTGACCATAAATATATTTTATTTATATTTTTTTAAAACCTTGTTAGCATTTTCAGGTTAGCGTTTGGGAAAGGAGACATTCAGCTTAAGTATACTTAGGTAGCTTGTGCCCAATATTTCTCCGCAGACCTCTGCTAGAACATTGTCAAGCTGACCTGTGACTTCCTTGCTGTTTAAATCTTTTTTTTTCTACATAAGCAGACCTGTAGCCCTGTCCAAGTGCAGGGTCAAAATAAGGTCTGGCTGCTAGTGATTCACTGTCTTCACAGAGCATAGGGAAAGCAAGAAGGAAATGCTCCATGAAAAATAGTGAGGTAAAACACACAATACCTGGTTATCAGAGTTTCTTGAAAAGAAAATACTATCTTTCTTCTGACAAGAAAGAAAGAAAAAAAGTCCTTATAATTTAAGTACTGTTAAGATTTGAACAGCATGTATTGCTTTGCTTCATGCTCCTGCCTGAAATCCGAACAGGGTGACATGAAATCCCCCTTTCCCAAGCTTGTTATGGGAGAGCGCTATCTGCAGTGTAGGACTGACTGGCAGCAGCATCTTTATCACATGTTGTAATCTCATTATATTCCTAACAAGGAAAAAACACAGGAACTTAACCAGTTGGCTTGCTTTGTTTTAGATAAATACACAGGATTTGCAGAATGCATATAAACTGCAATGACTATGTGTTTCTTGTCCCTAATTTTAAAATCCCTCTAAGGAGGGTATTCTTTAATTTCTCGCTGTGTACATCCCTCTTCCTGCTTCCCATTAAACGGGCTTAACTACATGGTTATACCCCAAGAGGGTGATATGCCCTGTTTCTTCCTAATACGTAGCAGTACAATAGGCAAGGACTCCTTTTTTTTTTTTTCTTTTAAAAATTCATTCTATCTGAGCTTGCTCATATATAACTTCTTTCTAAATAATATTTTCTTCTTCAAAATTTAGCAAAGGTTGATGTTGAGGCTTGTTGTCCTCTTACAGGAAAATGTGTTTATCTACCTTTATTTTACAAACATAATAGAACTTCAGTCTGTTTCCAGGGAAATTGTTCAGAAAGTTGCAAATAATTGAAAGGCAGCGGAAATACTGGAATATCATGAGTACATTTAACATTTGCTTGCTTAGCTACTATCAGAAGCCAATTTTTCTTAACACTGACAAAGTTTATCAGTGTTCTTCTTTGTGAGGATTATGCTAAAAGAAAATTGAAAAATCAGTATGGAAGTCTGTTCAACCGCTAAAACAGGATTGTTGTTTTGTTTTGCCAGTCTTCAAAAAGACCTTCAAAAACAAATTCCCTTAAAACTTCCATATTTTTGGATATGCTTTTTAAAGCAAGTAGTCTCTACCATCATTACAGTATTTGAGCTGTGTGGATTCCTAAAGGCAAGTGCATTTAATCCAGAAGTTCTACAAATACTCAAAATGCTTGCTTGCTTGCTTATAAGGTTCCTCCTCTGTAGTGTACCAAAGGATTTTTTTTTTTCCTTTTACGACTTTCTGTTCTGTTAGCTCTCTGACCAGGGAAAAAGTGGTATACTGAACTGTTCTGGAACCATCAAGGGATATGAAATCATCATATCCTACTAGCAGATAACACAGTATATCCTAATCCAAATTGAAATATATTAATATGTCATGACTGCAGAAGGGCAAGCTCTCTCAGGAATGAACAAACCATCCATTCATACACTGCAAAGTTTAAATGCATCAGATGTCATGACAGAGCATCAAAACAGATCTGTTGTATCACGAATAGCCAATTTAATGGTACCTCTGGTATAACAGAGTCTTTGCATCATTTAAGTTTTATCTATTTTTTTTTTTCAAAAATTAACCAATTAGATTTAATCCTATTAATAAAAAGGAAAAAAAAAAGCTCAAAACCTTGAAATTGTGCTTTAATTTTAAGAAACGGTTCTTAGAAAGTAGTTCTGTTTATCCTACACACCATCTTCATATCTGCACTCTCAGTAATATCTGGTTCACTTTATAACATCAGTATGTTTTTATTCCTGTTGCCAGTCTAACAGACCCTGAATGGATGCAGAAGAATGCTCTTAGAAGTACTCAGCTTGGGCATCAGCAGAGAAGCTTACAGCTTCACTTACGGAATCACTGGTTTTGATAATAATACAGAAAATAGAGAAGGTTTTCTGTGCTTAAATTGTAATGCCAGCACTTGGGGAAATCTTGATGACTTGAAAATTTCATGAGTTAGCTAGACAGCGCATGTTGAACGTCAACACGTTTCTAGTGTTCATTTTTCTGCAGTGATTTTTTTTTTCTCTTTTAGAATAATAGATGTGCACAGTATACATACTGGCTATTAGCAGTAGATAATTATTTTTACATATCAGCAGTACCTGATATTACTGGAGTTAAATTTGCTACTATGGGCTCTAGTGACATTGTATGCAGGATAATAGGAAGGGTTTTATTATCTCAAGAACAAATTCAGGATTTGGTGCAACAGCTGAAATTTTACCAGAGAGGTGTCTAATAAGGCCTGTAAACAGGCTTTGTTTAGCTAGTTAAATACTTGCGTTAGTTGTATAGGATACTTTAAATGATTGCACTTCTAGAGGTGAAATAATTTCTGCTTGTGACAAAGAACTTAGGCTGATGCTGTCAAGGCCTATGAATAAAATGAGAATAATTCTGTGCAGTGCAGTCAAAGAGAAAAGGTTTAGAGTACACAGGTAAACCTATGGCTTGCACTATAAAAATAAATATTTTTTTTTTCATTAACTAAGCCCCAAAAGCTGTGCCCCTTCTGGCAAAAATGTGTGTGGCTGCACATGCATCACTGTTATGTTCAAACAGTTCTGGCAGACACTAATTCTAGAGCTTACCTTTTTGGGCTCACCCATCACAGAAAATCACCAAAGTGAGTGGGTAATACAAGTTTATAAAGAAAACGCGTTTCAACAGATAAATAGAAGTCAAGGAGGGGGGAGGGGTAAGCTTTGAATCTGTTTTCTTCCTTGCAAGCTACAGGATACAGAAAAGTTGACTTAAACAGCTTTGATTGAACTCATGCAAACAAATAATCATCTTTCTCAGAGACAATAAACTGTCTTCTGACTTGCCAAGGAAAGCTAGGTGTTATTTTTCAACAGTAGTTATTTTCAAATCAAATAGAACTGTCTGTAGGCCAGAAATTTGAATTATAATTGAAATCATTGATTCTATAAATAATTGAAATTGCAACGGATACGGTGTTCTTTGGTATGTAGCATTACCTGTTGCACAGTGTTACGGGGAGCTGATTAAAATAATCTCCACTTTCCACAAACCAGACATAGCTATGTTTTTATTATGATCAAAACAGTTTCTGATTCTAGTGTTCGTAGTTCATAATGCACTTTGGGATGAGATTATATTACGGTAAGGCTAATATTCTTGATAAATTTAAGAATATCATTCTCTAAAAATGAACTGTATATGGCATTACCTTACTGTCTTCCAAAAGAAACAGCTTCGGTTACTACAGAGCGGTTAAAAAAAATAACCCTACTTTGGTTGGACAAGGTTGTCTCACACTCTTTGCCTTTACTCAGATCCACTCTAGGCTCATCCTATGTCTGCTCTTGCCAAGCGGTTTAATATGTTAAATGATCTTACTGAGGGCATTGGCTATCTTTTGTGCCGGTGCTGCAGCAAAAATGGAAATGAGGGGACAGCTGAGAGCAAAACGGGCAGATTTACAGACTTGTCTTCAGCGAAGGGCGATAAAGGCACTGCTTTGTTCTCTTACTGCGCTTCAGCGTTACGAGGCGCCGAGTTCATC